AACATGTTTTACATTTTTATGCCGAATAAGCATAAATTACATATATTATTAATCAAATAGCAAATGATATTATTGCGCGATGTTTACCAAAAAACCTTGAATATATTTGAAATTTTATATAAGAACTTAAAGTCCCTAAAAATTAGCAATTATTAAAAAAAAATCGAAGGTGTGCATTTGGCAGCTGTGTAATTGGTACAGTTGACGATTTGAAGGTTATCCAAATTATTGATTAAACTTTAACAAATTATTGAAGTTGAAAATATCAAGATTTGTGATTCAAATCAAATCCAAAAAAAAAAAAAAAAAAAAAAAGTGAATATAATGTAAGATTTAGTTGTCTTTTGTCTAATCCAAAAAAATAATTTATTATAAAGAAAGATGAACGTGAATCAATGTGGTGACAACACGTGGAAGGATATCACTGGCCGAGAGGGATGTACGGCACATCGTACTCGTGCAACCACCATTGTAAGATCTGAAATCAAATTATGACAGATGGAGGTGACCTTGTGTTCATACTTCATTATGTCCCATGATTCTCCGATGCCCATGAAAGATACTATTCAAATTATATATATATATATATATATATATATATATATATATATATATATATATATATATATATATATATATATATATATATATATATATATATATATATATTATTGGCAATTGAGTTGGGTCTAACCTAAGTCCGAGAACTCGGCTCGATTATATTTGAGTTGAGCTCATGTTTTAGTGACACTGAACCCGATTTATTTATGAGCCGAGTTTGTGCATGCCTACTATGGTTCAACCTGAATAATGCCCGATCGATTAAGTTAATAATAAGATATATAAAATATTTATTATTTTAATGTTATGACAACATACAAGTTACGACCCTAGAAGATTATCTCAATTTTGCAAAATAAAAGGAATTAAGTGGTGGCGGTGTCAATAAGTAAAATGTGAGTCAAATGCAAAATACCCATCGAAATCCAATTGTTGAAATTTATCACCGAGATTTGAGAATATAAAACGTTTTCGATAATAAAAGTTACTAATCTTTACTTCTTTCAGTATTGTTATTATGTTTTTTCCATTGACTTGCAAAGATCGTTTTTGGTGTTTTTGGACTCAAGAGGATTTAGAAAGTCCAACTATATCATTATTTTATAATTATTCCACGATGATGCTGGAGTTATATCACCTAATGTAGTTGAAGTATGATGAGTTGGAAAAGCAAAGTGTATCATTGGCTCATGAGCTTGATGACTTTGAGATACCTGCAAAAACTAAGTTGGGGTTGATTCGGCGGAAACCCCTTCGACGCTCAAGTCAGGTGTATGAATTGCAAAAGTTGTAGACAAAACTCAGGGAGTTGTATAGTTCGAAAATTGAACGCACCTTAACAAATGAGTTGGAACATTTATTTATACATCGTTGATTGGACTGGAGTTAGTTAATTGAGATTGTCGGACCCAAATTTTATATGAATATGATTGGACCTTTGTTATAGTGGCCTTCAAACTTGGACTCGTGACCCATTGGCCAGTAGGTTAATTAAGAAATTATAAGGCCCAATTATGCATATTAGTACAGTAAAACTAGTCCAATTAAGTTATATCAGTTTAATCTAAATAATTCAAACGACACTATAGGCGAACGTAACCTTAATAAATTATACTCAATAAATTAATAACTTTGTCCAAATAATAATTTATTTACAGTGCCGACTCGGTAATAACGTACTAAATTATTAGCTCAATAATTTAATATTTCGTTAAATTAGTAGAATTTTACTGATAATCCAATCTGTATTATATTTGCTACGCTGTTTATTTAACTAATCTTTTTAAAATATTATGTGGAACAAAAGTATAATCAGGGTTATGTCGGTATTAAATGTTTCATTAAAAATTTAAAAACAGTAAAAAGGACCTTAAAATAAATAAAAAAATTGTGATTGTCGGTTCAAGTCTGATCTACTCCCTCCTCTACCAACCATGACCCATGCTTCATGCTTGATGCTTATGAGGATCAATCAAACCAGCAGACACTCTCTCTCTCATATATATATATATATATATATATATATATATATATATATATATATATATATTTGTTTATTTATGGTGGGCGTTGAGTTTAGAAACGCGTTTTCTGTTTTTCTCCATAAAAATCTGGAAAAAAGACAAATAAATAATCAAGACCAACACAAACACACGCATTACGCACTACACTACATCACTTGTGTGTGCTTGTTTAAATGGCAATTTTTTTTAAAAAAAAAAAGATAAATAAATATAAATATGTATATATATATATATATATATATATATATATATATATATATATATATAATAAATAATGTCATATTTTATTTTTGTGAATTTTTTAGGTTGAATTTGTTGTACAACGATTGCAGGAAAGTTTACCCAGTGCACTTACGTTTTTTAAAGAATAAAAGGCATGCATATACTAAATTGTTGTGTTGGTAAAAGTTACCAATTTAAATAAAATCATTTCAAAACAAATTCTTTTTAATGACGTCAAAATTCAGGTTAAGTGGTAATAGTGGGATTGACCCTTAAATTTAAACTTGAGTTGACCATTGACTATACGTAGCAAACGTAGGTCTTATCCTACACGGTGAATCTGATGAATTTTCCATTCATTATTTTATTATTATTATAGTGTTCCTAATATTGGTTTTGATTCTCATCTAGAAGTGACAATTTTTTATTTTTTTTTTATAAATTAAATAGCGTTTATAATAATACTAGTATGTAGTTTGTTTGGGGGAAAGAAATGTGTTATTAGGTTGACATAGCTGGCAAACCATTTCTATTTAATGAAAAATAATAACGACAATATTTAATTAGTAGGTGATACGCAGTTAAATATTTATAAATTAATATTGTTTTGACTAGCAAAATTATATTAATTTAGCAAAATATTTGATCAATGTACTAATAATTTAGTACGATTTTATCAAGTGGTGACTGAAAGAAAATATTATCTAAGCGAAACTACTAATTTATCGAGTCTTAATTATCGAAATTCTACTGTATGTATATAATAATGTGTCCATTCAAAAAAAATATATGTGACACATCAATTTATTGAGTAGATGACATACGTCAATACGTGTAATGAAATGCCACCACACACAAGATTTGAAATCCTAGTTGATGATTAATGATACTATTGTGTTAGATACAATCATATATACAACACCTTCAATATATTCATTTTCAATATTTAATTCTCATAAATGTGACACCTCAATTACAAAAATTAAATATGTGACACCTTGTACTTCATACTTGTATAGGCTGCATTTTGTTTTTATTACCTCATCCAACCCCTTCTTTATGGTATTATTTGATTTTGGTCAACTTGTGGGCCATTCTTGAAAAATGCATGGAAGTTTCAATATTGGTGTTGAATCCTACATTTTATGAAATAAATTGGATATATATAATTTTTTTATATTTGATTTACATATATTATTTATGTATCTTTTCACATATGTGATATAATATAAATCGATAAAATTCATCGGGTGCAGCATACAATAAACCGACACAATCTTGTAGATATTTATCATATTTTTCATACAATATAACATACTGACACATATACGTGTTGTGGACGTGTACAAAATAAACAATTACCAATATATGTATATGGTGATTGATGACGATACCAATGTCATTGTTAAGCAGAATTCATCGAATGTAACATAAAATAAACATAATTTTCGGATACGATTATCCTACATAGGTTTCTAGTAGACCTAATATGCACAAGTATACTAAGTCAACGCAATTGGTGACATAATTCAATACTATATATATAAAATATTAATTAGGTTGAATAAAAAAGCTTGCAAGTTACGCTTTCTTATTTATTCGAATATATATTAAACAAATCCAAGTAACTTGCATCAACATTTCTCTAGCCAGTCATTTTATTTATTTATTTAAGGATTAAAAGTATTACATTTGATTTTGACCTCATCAACTTGTACACAACTTTATGGAAATTTGTTTTTTTTCATATAAATAAATATTTAATAGATAATGAAATGGTCTTTGTGGAAAAAAATAAATAAATTAGTGCACAATACTTTTCTTTAGTGGTTTACATAGTTAAAATATGAAGTGGAAGGTTAATTTCAACACTACATTCTACATCAAGTGAAATATATTGTATCTATTTATTTAGATATACGATATATTCTTATTGATATTTTTTTTTTTTTGTTAATGAATGAGCTAGCCAGTAGTAACATATGTGAATTTTCTTTCCATAAAATAAAACATATGTGAATTTGGTAAAAACAATTCTCGGATAATCGCAAACTGCGCTTCGAGTGGCTAGGCAATATTTTCATCTCATTTTTATTCTTTTCCCTGCAAAGAATTCGTGTTTTGTTTAGGTTTTTCAAAAACAATTTTCTCCAAACAATTTTAAAGGTTTATTCATTCTCCAAACATGATTTGACTGCTATAGTAACAAAAATTTGACGGCTACAGTAAAAAATGTCTTCACCAAAAAATAAAAATAAAAAATTACTTTATCTTCCAGGTTGTTCTTATAAATCACATTTTCTAACATATTTAAATATGATTTGACTACTCTGGTGTATTTTATCGCATCTCAAATATGTAAAATCAAACATCCTCTCACTTCCAAATTATTATTCACTCAAAACATATTTTCTCAAAATAAAATAAAAATAACTACCAAAAAATTCCAAACAACATTGCTTGAATCTCTCAACTAAAATAAAATAAAAATAGCTTTAATTAATTAATTAAAAAGAAACTAAAATATGGTGAAAAGTGAAAAAGGTACAAAATCCTCGTTCAAAAGTCTAATCCACGTGCTTTCTCTCAGTTACCCCCACCCCCCCGCACCCAGCCCCCACCCTGTACAAGTACAACTCTCCGTCCTCTCTCTCTATATATAGTATATACATACAGCCAGAGCCTATAGATACATTGAAGTAGAAATCCATATCACATTTCAAAGTTGAGAAATCAGAAGCAAGTAAACACACCAAACTGAAATCTCTGCTGAATTACATTCTTCCGATCTCCCATTAATTCATCTCTCAAATTTCCAGCAATTTTGGGCATTCAGGTAAATGATTTTGCCTTTCTCTATTTCCCTGTTTCATTGCTTTACATTTCATGAAATTGCTTCCTTTTTTTTTTTTTTTTAAAAATAATAATAACAATTATTATGATTACCTACCAGTTTCCTTTAGAACATGCTTATGTTTCAATTCTCCTCTTTCTATGTTTCTTACTGTATCTGTCATTTCAATAGCTGAATCGATTAATTTGAGTGAAATCACAGGTGTTTGTGTGTGTGAGTGTGTGTGGGGCTGGGCAAAATCACAGGTGTTTGTGTGTGTGTGTGTGGCTGGGCAAAATCACAGGTGTGTGTGTGTGTGTGTGTGTTTGTGTTTGTGTTTGTGTGTGTTTGTGTGTGTGTGTGTGTGTGTGTGTGTGTGTGTGTGTGTGTGTGTGTGTGGCTGGGCAAAATCACAGGTGAATCAATTGGACTGTGCTTGCATATGACTATGTGTTTGTATTATTTACCATAAATAAGAAAGAGAATACCTATTAGTATAGTCATGTATCTGTAATATGATTATGTGTTTGAAGTTTTTATTTCGAAAGAAACTAATTTCGTGACCGATATCCAGATTTCGTAATTGCATGGGGGTATCTTGGTCATGTCCACTCGCGGTTTATTTTGATTTGGAGAATGCTTTAGAATCTGCTGCTGTAAAATCATTCAACCTAAGTGACAATGAACAGAACTCTCCGGTTCGATCTGTTAGCCTCGAACGCAAAGATTCCGAACCAAGAATTCTGCAGTCATCAGGTTCCGGTAAACTGTTGAGAGAAGGATCTATTAGGTACAGATCAAGAAAAGCTCCAACCACGAGATTTACCGAAATGCCACCAGAAAATATCACGATTGGGATAGTCCCGAATTCCTGTGTTTTGGATCCGATAAGCCCTAAACACGAGGCTGCTTTAAAGTTGCAGAAGGTTTACAAAAGCTTTCGGACTAGACGAAAGCTAGCGGATTGTGCGGTCCTTATTGAGCAGAGTTGGTGGAAGCTGTTGGATTTTGCAGAGCTCAAGCACAGTTCGATTTCGTTTTTCGATATCGAGAAACACGAGACTGCCATTTCTCGATGGTCAAGAGCAAGAACAAGGGCAGCCAAGGTAATTTTTATATTTAACCACTATTTTTTTTTCCAAGGAATTTTATGTGGTCATCTAATGAAATTTACCTTGTGTTTTGCAGGTAGGAAAAGGCTTATCGAAGAACAGCAAAGCTCAGAAACTTGCTTTACAGCATTGGCTTGAAGCTGTAAGTATATATATCTTTTACTCTTATTAAGTGTCTCTTAGAAAAAAAAAAAAAAAAAGGAGAAAATACTGATTTTGTCGAAATTGGTGTTGAGCAGATTGATCCGCGACATCGTTATGGGCACAACCTACATTTCTATTACGTGAAGTGGTTGAACTCTCAAAGCAAAGAACCATTCTTCTACTGGTAATAGTCTCTAAAAATCTTAAATTGTTTTTTTCTTACTCGAAAGAAACTATTCTGTCAGAGAAGGGTTATTATTGCTCGATGTTAAACGAAATGGTTAAAAAAATTGTGCAGGCTGGACATAGGGGAAGGAAAAGAGGTTATTATAGAAAAATGCCCTCGTCCGAAGCTTCAACAACAGTGTATCAAGTATCTCGGTCCTGTGAGTACTCATACCCCTCGTCTTTTTCTTAATTTTTAAGAATAATTTGTTCGAAATATTTCTCATGTCTACTTTTCATATTTGCAGATGGAGAGAAAGACTTACGAAGTTGCAATGGAAGAAGGGAAACTCTTTTATAAGGAAACGGGGGAGTTTTTGGACACCACAAACGAACCAAAGGGCTGTAAATGGATCTTTGTCCTAAGCACATCGAGGACTTTATACGTAGGAAAGAAAACGAAAGGCTCGTTTCAACACTCAAGTTTCTTGGCTGGAGGAGCTACACTTGCTGCTGGGAGGATTTTGGCTGAAAAGGGCATCTTAAAGGTATCTTTATAAATTCTTTATTTTCTATCGTTTATTTGTCTTAATGCTCCAATATTATAGTAATTCATGACAACGGTTTTGTTTGAATTTCAACAGGCAGTGTGGCCTCACAGTGGTCACTATCGACCAACACCCGAAAATTTTCAGGATTTGATCTCATTTCTCATGGAGAATAATGTCGATCTTACCGATGTTAAGGTACATTTATAGAAGCAAGCTAAATTCAATTTCTTGTTTCTTTTGATTCAAGAAACTTGCATGGTCAATTAATAATCTTATTGTTCTTTTTTTTTCTTCGTCCAGCTCGATTCGACCGACGATGAAGAAGAAGAATCTATCCGAAAACACATGAGAAACAACTCCTCAGAAGATGACTTAGCTGGAAAAGAGCAACTCGAAACAGAAGAAAACGATACCGAAAACTCAGGACAAGAAAATGAATTAAGGATGTTGTCACAGGGTTTAAGCAAACTTAGCACTCTTCAAATACCGAGTAACGACGATTTACTAGACAAGTTGAAGAGTGAAAACGAGATATCCGAATCGTTAACTTCCGGAAGCTTCCTCCTCGATGAAAACATGTCCGAAGACCAAGACGAGACTATTACGGAACATTCCGTTCTCGAAAGAATCAATTCTCACAAAGGAATGAAGTCCTTCCAATTAGGGAAGCAGCTTTCTTGCAAGTGGAGCACAGGGGCTGGACCTAGAATTGGTTGCTTGAGAGATTATCCCTCGGGGCTACAATCCCATGCATTGGAGCAAGTGAATCTATCTCCAAGAAGTAACCGGAGATTAAGATTCGATTTTCCTTCTAGAACATCAACACCGAACAGCAGTAGTCTTTCTCGTAGCAACAGTCACAGTCTCGAAAACAGCTTTCAATTGTAAAGCAGAGATTCGATTTATTCTTTAATTCGTTTCATTCTTTTTTTGTGAATAGAAAGAATGATAGTCGTAGGAATTCATTGAAGATTCTTTTCGATACAGGAATTATTACTCCATTTTCCCATTTTCTTTTATTCCTCTCATCCTATATGAAACAGGGTGAGAAAGCATTGTAAAATTTTGTGGGTTTTTTATGCCCTTTCAGTTTAAAAGGAAACTTCGATTGACGAGTGATCGTTTTTCCCTTCGTTTAGGTCTCGCTGGAGATTTTGATGTGTTGATAATTATACCTGTACACACATGTGAATGTGTTAAAATACGTACGGATCTATACACGTGTACGTTACCTTATACACCTATAAAGTTCATTAGGCAGCAAAACCTTACAATTGATAGAATAACTTACACCAACTTTCTTGACAACAAACAAGAAATGGTGCACTACCTGCATACAACAAAAGGTTCACCTCCCTCGGAAACAAAACTCAAACAAGAAACTATAAAAAAATATCCCACATCTTGAAAAACCAAATCGACTTGTTACGACTAATTGTCTCTATTTCTCAATGGGAAAACCAAATTCACCAGTTATGATTCGACCCGATTTCTCAATGGGGAAGAACAGAGTATCCATATACGGAACAAACCCAAGCCACCCGAAAACCATCTTCGTGTCTTTAAATTCTTGAAACCTCTTCTTACAAGGGTTGTAGACTACCAATCTACCGCTATGATTCGTTTCTTTTATCCGGATCACAATCTTGTTTCCGAGCAAATATTTCGGCTCAAACCACCGAAGTGGCGCCTCCATATTCTCAATAGTCATCAACTCGCTCCAAGTATGATTCTCGATCCCCTTTCCCTTTCTCCAAATCACGACCGTCTTGTCGTGACCTTCGTAGTAAAGGCACAAAAACCCACTCAAATCAACCAAGTAAATCGATTTTCCGTAATCTGATCTGCTGTAATCTATGTTTTCGGGCACGCGCAAAATCTTGAACTTGTCGTCTCTGGGATCGTAATACACTATCTGTGGCTTGTGCTTCGAAGCCCAATAGCTAACCCCGTCAACACAGACCCCCAATTCGTACTCTACACGGTAATCATTGTACTCAGTTTCGTACCTTTTTTCCAGCATTGTCCAGGATTTGTTGTTACAAGAATAAACCGAGTAATCGTAAGATTTCGCGATAACAACCTTAAAATCATCAGTGATCGGATCATGGCAAATCCCAAAAGCCGCCTCACCGCAGTAAAACGTGGCCTGAAAAATTGTGTGTGTTCTCGTGGATGGATTCCACAGCGCGAAATTCTCATTCGAAAGGTCGGAAATTAGTATCAGCCCTTCGCAAAAGCATAAGACAGTTGCCCACAAATAGGGTCCGAACACTTGTTGTAAAGTTTGGATTTTTCGACCTTTCTCCAATTTAACCAATGAAAACCCTTGTGAATTCACCTCTGAATTCTTGACTAGAAAAAGATTCTTCGAACCCTTCGATTGAAGCTGTCGGAGATGATGCTTACGGACGAACACAGGATCTGAAATCAGAATATTCCATGACTTAGAAACTGATTTGAATCGGAGAAGAGGTTTGACAGACAATTTTAACAGCACAATTTCTATGATCTCGATCGGAAGAGCCATGGTGTTTTCTTGGAGTTTGTAGTGGAGGCGTGATTTTCGAGCTGTGTATTGATTTTGACGAATGTAGTGTGCGTGTATATATATCCCGTAGCCCTAGCATAATATTTAGGGGAAACTCGCCTACCCTAATTACGAAAACACCCCCTCTTGTTTGTATAATTACTGCCACTGTCCTCAACTATGTATTTTTTTACAAAAAAATCCCTCAAGTCTATATAATATGGGAGGTGATATTCGCGGTAGCAAAATTACGAATGTCGTTTTAAAAAATCCACTCTCTATCTTTCTTTCTCTCTCTACAATTTTAGCTTTTATATTAGAAATCATTCCAAAACTCATGTTATTGTAGCCATTTGCAAAAAAAAATGAGTGCATCGAATGAGGATCGAGATACGGAATCCAATGAGGTAAAATTTGTTCCTTTTTGTTCTTTAAATCGCGAAAACGAGACTCACGACCAATTTGGACGCCGAAAAATACGTTTCACGCCCAAACTGGGCGCAAAAAATCTCGATTCACGCCCGGTTTGGGCGCGGAAAAGTACTTCCCGCGCCCGGTTTGGGCGCGCGACACAGCTTTCCGCGCCCGGTTTGGGTGCGAGTGCTGACTGTGTTTTAATTTAAAAAAAAAAAAATTTGTGATGCAACAAGGAATCGAACCCGGGTTGTTGCAATGTAAACGCCTGCTTGCGTAACCAAGTAGGCTACTGCCGTTTTGATTACAAATTCTTATTTATTTCATTATACTGGCAAAAAATTAATAAATACGCGTTGCATCAAGGACTCGAACACGGGCCTATTGTTTGTTAGACAAAAGGCCTAACCAACTAAACTACAGCATGTTTATAAATTTATACTTATTTAAATATAATTATTCACTTCAATTATACTGGGCAAAAAAAAAAAAATTGAACCGGACGACCGGTCCAGAACCAACGTCTAGACCGGACGCCCGAATTAATTTTCCACGCCCAAAATGGGCGTGAGAAAGCTGTTTCCACGCCTAAATCAGGCGTGGAAACTGCTTTCCCACACCCATTTTGGGCGTGGAAAATTCGAAAATCCAACACTAAAAATAGCCATAAATCGCGATTTTCAGGGGATTTTCACATGATTAACCACAAATTCAATATATATAACTATTTTAGATGATTAATTACCTTTCAAATTGAAGAAATTTTCTGATTTTGGAGGATTTGTGAGAGAGGTTGAGGGTTTTTGTGAATTTTGGGGCTTTTGGGGATTTTGGGGTTTGGGTGGAATTGAGGATTTTTAGAGAGAGAAAGAAAAGACTATTGTGAACGACATTCGTAATTTTGCTGCCGCGTAAATCATTTCAGATATAATATATAAAAGTTGAATTCCACACCTAATTGATTGACATTTGGCAATTTCAGTTGGTGACATGTCATCAATTTCATCCCAAGTGGCGAATCGATTGGTGGAAATAAATCATCAAAAAACATGTCATCATTTGCCAAAATTAAAGATGATTAAATAGATTTAATTATTTTATTAATATATTTATATCCTACCATTTATAAAATACTTTAAATATATCAACTTTCTTGGAAACTCTAAATAAATTTATTTTTTTGATTTAATTTTATAATTAATTTAATTTCAATTTAGTCAAATTTAATTTAAAATATTCCGTTATTATAATTGCATGATTGGTGGTGTTACGGAAGTTTTATATTTTAATTCATAAACTTGGATTTATATTAACAAAATATTGCAGCATAAATTATTTGATATGATACATTTTACACGAACATGACTAGAGAATATGGTTTTTTTTATTAATTTAATATTATATTTAATAGTATTAATATGTGTTTTTTGATGCTTCAGCTACCACACATAAGTACTAATTTAATATTATATATTAATATTATCTGTAAAAATACACATGTATGAATTTACAATATTGAGAAACACTATTTTTTTTTTGTCACGTGTAGAGTAATGTATTCCCCATTACTTAACATATTGGAAATTATAAAACATGAATTTCATTTATTATTTAAACAATTATTTTTTCTTCACTGAATCCAGTGACAATAAATTTTACGATCGATTTAGCTTTTTATAGTATATACTAATTGAAATACAAATTTTATCTTTTATTCTAATAAATTGAATAACGAATTGACAAAAAAAATTGAATTGATTTTATATATTTCAAAATATAACAAAGTTATTCTAAATCTTTGGTATTAAATTCGTTTATTCACTTTATTTAATACCAAACATTGAGAATATCAATTGTTTTGATTAAAATGTATAATGATCGTAAATACTATATATTCTATATATTTAAAATATCAATTAATTTTTTTTTTTTTTAATTTATATAAGCATTTTATAGTGACTTTTGTTTACTTGAAATTTGATCTATTTTCAATAGCATCAACTTTATGTTATTTTCTAACATATGGTCGTACGTGTAAATAAGTTTAAGTCGTATATTAACAAGGATAATTTATGAAAACCACCTGAACTTAGGCTAAATTAAGAAAAATGCCCCCACATATTTGTAATTACCAAAGTGGGGCTGATGTTTGTTTCCGGGGATACATCGACCCCCTTATGGTATGATTAGACAATGAATTTTTTATGTGGAGATATTCCCCGAAAAATGTTGATATATACCCTGCACACGCGACATTTCTTTATGGTACTTTTTAAAGGCAAAAATTACCATCAGGGAGGGGACTTTACACGAAATCTTTAATCTTCTGAAATAACACCTTCACAAATTTTTATTATTACCATGACCACCCCTGAGGGTAATTTTTGTATTTAAAAAGTACGAATCCATATTTTTGGGATATTACATGGAATAAAAAAAGATTTCGTAAAAAATCACACATAAGGGGGTCGTGTACAGAAAACAAACATCAGGGGGATTTTGGTAATCACCGATAAGTGGGGGTGTTTTCTGTAATTTAGCCTAAGTTCAAGAGGATTTTCATAATTTATCTTATTAACAACGATTATTGTTATTTTACGTCTTAACGTTTTCTTATACTCTTATAATATTTTAAATAATTTTAATGTCATTTTGATAATATAATTAAATATTAATTTCTAATATATTTAATATGTGTTTTTTGATGCATCAGCTACCACACATAAGAAATTTAATATAAAGGTTCGAGATTGAATAAAATTGTTTTTTTTATAAAAAATATTAGATCATTGGAATAAAAAAATATTGATGCAAAATCATAATTTGTTATTAATATTAGCATTAGCATTAGAATTATAATTAATATTCTTTGAATTAGTATTAGTATTAATAATAGAAATAGGATTCAAATTGTAATTATGATTAATATAATATTATAACTAATATTAGGATTATAATTAATATTAGTATTAGAATTATAATTAAGATTAAGATTATGCTTAGTATAATAATTAGTGACATGTATTAGTATTAGGTTGGTGTTAGAATTAGAATTAACATTAGAATTAGCATTTGCATTATTAGTATTAAAGTTATTAGGCTTATGATTAGTGTTAGGAATAGGATTATGATTATGATTAGGATTAGTATTATGATTAGTGTTATGAA